TCTTTAAGCTGTCCTTAAATGATCTCCTCTTCTGGATGATTTGATTTTGCTCGTTCTTCAATCTGCGTGCATAGTCCATGGTAGCTGAGCTCTGAAGCGTTATCTCCAACCAGGCCTCCATGCACTTCAAACTCTCTGTACTGCAGGAATGACAGGTCTCTTATGGAGACCATAATGTCAGGCGCACTGTGTCATGTGAGGTGGCTATGGGGTCTGCTCATGGTTATAGTCTTTGGTGGCAGTGCAGAGGTAAAAGTAGGTGTGTGTGGAGCTGGTGGTGTTAAACTCAGCTAACTCCCTAACAAGAGCTTCATCGTTAGCTGTCAGCTTTTTGTGCTCAACTACTTGTAGCATCAGTAGAACCAACAGGGAATGTGTCTGCGATGTTACTGTTTACACGACTCTTGACATTGTTGGAACATATAATCTTTTGGATGCACTGATAGTTTAGAAATCATACTAACACATCTAATGTCTGTTAATGCATGACTTGTGCTGATCTGAAGAAGGAGAAAGAAAGATTCAAGCAGGTCAAAGAGACCAAACTCAGGGAGGTTCATCAAGGTCAGTCAGAAGGAATGCAGCTGCACACACACTTATCAGTATATTGCACCCATAGACATACCATCCCCCTATAAACTAATAGTAGTTAAGACAAAGGAAAAATACTGACATCCAGAGAGCGTGGGATGTTTTTGGGGAAGTTTCTCTTTACAGCGTGTGGATGCTGTGGATTGGACGGATCGGGTGCCAAGAGATATGGACATATCTGTGCACCAACAAAGGGAGAGCTAAGTTTAAACCACGGCTCCTCCCCAACCAGATAGCCATTCACGTTTCACTATTTATATTTAATGTCTGTGTTTAGCAGCCAATCACCTTCCACTACACTGAATAAAATGTTTATGCTTACATGAGGCTGCATCCATTGCTGGGGAAGTAGGTTACAGACCAACAGCTTGCTGACTGTGATTTTCTGAATCAGTAATGGATCCTTGATCAAGTAAAATATTATATTGCAGAATAAATAACACTAAATGAGAGAAGTAGTTTGTCTTCTATCTCAAAAGACCGAACACACCTCAACAACATCAGTGCAACAACCTCATCCTCTGTTACAACACGCTAATTGATTTCGGTGACAGGACTAGCAATGAGCTCAGCATTAGTGTCTCTAAACAAAAGCAATTTGGAAAATTTTCGGTCCTTTAAATCAAGCAAAGCTTTACAGTTCAGGTAAGCATATGATGCGGCCGCTGCCATAATCTGAGGAACTCCAGCTCTCTCTTCTCAGTAGGTGTGAGTGTGTGTTGTCTGGTGTGTGTGTGTGCGTCTGCACTCAGCCCTCAGGTCACCCTGCAGCAGGATCTGATTGAGCTGATGTGATTCCACCCACCTGCGCTGGAGAAGGCTGATCTACCAATCAGGAGCCACCAGGAGGATATATAACGCCAGCAGACCAGCATTCGACAGCAAACTGTTGCCAGCCCCGCTCATGTGCCTCTCTGTACCTTTTGATTGTGTTACTTCAGTGAACTTGTTGAGGCACGAGATTCACCCTACACCCTCCTCAGATTTGTTATTAGCCTCACTAGCATTTGAGCGCTGTTCTGATGGTATTTTTTGTATTAGATTGGATCAGTTAGATGGTTTTTATTTTATTTTTCTGTATAATAGCAATTTTAAACTCTAGGTTAGAGTCTCCTCGCTCGTTAGCGCGAGCTGGTCGTAACAGCATATATGTAGTCACAACAACTTTTTTTTCATCACCTTGACTTGACACTTGAAGGATCAAGGTCCGGTACGAGTGTGATATTCTCAATAGTCTGGAAGAGTGTGCTGTCAGAACATGAAAACGTTTCTGTTATGTTCCAGGTCAGTTTTGCTCTGTCAACATACTCCACACCAGGTGTGTCAATCATGTCTCACAGTGCAGTCACCTCAAGCCAGCCGCACAGCATCTCTCCAGTCGGGCTCCCACTCACGGCCTGTGGTCCTGCAGCTTCCTCAGTTGCACGCTTGCTGCTCCACCATGCCGGTCCTGTTAAGTTTGCCCTGGGTTCATAGGTTAACAGATCAACATCAGCTCTCGTCAGATGCCAGTTCCAGCGGTGCCTCCAGAATTCTGATGAGCACCAGGGAGCGCAGAGATAGGACACGTTAGTTGTGTTCGTTTACCAGGCTGTTCTGTTTTTTTTCTTTTTTTTTCTTGACCAAAATGAATAATGCTCCTTTAACTATTTTTGCAATTCATCACTTAAATTACCACTGCTGGCCTAACATATAATCTATGCATGTACAAATATGCCATCAGACTAAACAGAAACACTGCAGTCACCAAGTAATACCGACTTACAGTTACTGCTGTTCACCAGAATCTCACAACAGCTTTGACACTGTAATAAAGCCTACCTCCATCACTATTTTACTGATGAAAAAGACATTTTTTATTTATATAAACAAGAACATAAACAATTGCTTTAAAAACTCAAGGTCCTTTTTACCATATCAATGTATTGCTGTAGCTCTATTACACTACTGCTTTAGTAACATACAAAGATACAAACAGAGGAAACAACTTTACTCTAATTATGAATTTCAGTCATTAAACCACATGTCATTGTTTTATATTGTATTAAAACAAAGCTAGTCCACAAAACATTCACATGTTAAGGTGCTGTGTTGATATTCAAATGAAAAAAGTAGCGTAACGCCGCCATCTTGTTACGCCGGTTTACAATGGCGCTAGCAAAAAAAAAAAGAGCTAGAATTGTCTTTTTTACACGACGAAAATAATTGTTTTCTCATCAAACTGTGTCAAAACGATAAAGAGAGGATATATAAGGACCTTTGAAATATGACATGATGAGCAAAGACTCGCTACTGACCTGTTCTGTACAGAAAAAGCAGAGACAGGAGCCGCGTTCGTTCAGCAGGTTGAGGGACAAACCGCCTCCCGACCTACACCTGGCGGGCGCTCACCGGGCTGGACACTCCCTCCAGTGGCTCAACGCGGGAACTGCACCTTCACAAACGCTACTCAAAACACGTAGCGGTACGTCAACAAGCGGCCTTTCACCCGGATAAATATACAAAATAATGAAACAAGCAGGGCTCAGGACAGAGAGGAGGGCTGTAGCGTCACATTGTACAGCTTTAAACAGCCTCCACATGTGCACTGCTGATATCAACAAATGGATGGCCTCATTTTTTATTAGAATGGAACAGAATTTTTTTTATTTATTGGGGGAAATGTACATGCCACAGCAGCATGCAAAAAATATAGAAAATAAGTACTAGGAAATAACAATTATTAAGTAATAAAATTAAATAAGTATATACACAAGATGACAAAAATACGTAATTGAATGAACTATATTACTATAACACTGAAAACAAAAAACAGACTTGTGCAAATTTGCTGTGCAAAAGTGAATTTTGACCATGTGTATTTTCATTTCTTGCATCCCATTGAATAAACATTCACTAACGGCAAGTATACTGACTGGAGATTCTGTTGTTGGTCTGCGTCGGTTCACTCTGCTCCACCTGTGCAGTAACGGCAATTAAAGGACATTGAAAAATTGCCATTACAGTGACTAAAGGCTATTTAGACATTCTAAATAGATCTGGAGTTTAAAATTTGGTTTCGACACCTACTTTCTATTTCTTCTTCTTGTATTTCTTCTTTCTATTCTTGACAGGAATTGTTCACTTTTTGTCCAGGTCAAAATTTACCCGAATACTGTAAGGGTTAAGATTCGTAGATGGTTAACTCCAGACGATGTACCTAACCTCATATGCAAATTCAACCTGAGGTCCTCTAGTAGGTCACTACCGGCCATTCCTCACTCAAAAGTAAAACTAAAGTCGAACAGCCTTTCCTTATTTTCTTCTTTTTCTGGACTCTTTAAAAACTTGTTTTAATAGGATTGCTTTTTATTGCTTTTTATCCTGTCTTATATTTTATCCTAATAATGTACTAATTGTGGTTTATTGTCTTTTAAAGTTATTTTTTTGGGCCGTTTTGCCTTTTTATTAGATAGGACAGTCAAATGAGAGACAGGAAAGTGGGAATGGGTTGCAGCAAAGGGCCATGAGCAGGATTCAAACCCATGGCTGCTACATTGGAGGCTATAGCTCCTGAACATGGGTCGCCAGCTCAACCAGGTGAGCTAGAGCGGCGGCCCGTGACTTATTGTCTTACAGTCACACATCTTCAGCTCCATGTCTTCGTTCTTCTTTCTCCTGTGGTTTGAGTTTCTCCTGTGCTCCTTTATGCATCTCTCTGATTTGCATGTTCCTGACTGGCTGTTATCGACTTTACCAACCAGCCCAGCACTGATTGTGTACAGCTTTCCATCAAACTGTTATGCACAATGTTCTACGTTACGCATGATACACCTTATACTTCATACTTTATGTCAGCCGGCTCGCCTGTAATATAAATGACTATCATCACTGACATACAGCAGCTGTACTTGCTTGTTTCATAAATCACCTGTATGTATCATGTAATCCTGTTAGTGTGCTGCATGTAAGCTTAATATGCTTCATCTTCTCCTTTTCTTCTGTCCCGTCCCCCTCTTTCTTCCATCTCTACCCAGCTGAGGTTTCTGAAGGTTTCCTTCTGTTAAAAGGGAGCTTCTCCATGCCACTGTCACCTTAGTGTTCACTTTAGGGGATTCAAGCTGAAAGTCTGATGGTGACAATTTTAAGGCCACTTAGGTTCTGGTTTGATGTATGGATGAAATACATTGATCAGCCACAACATTAAAACCGAGTGAAGTGAATGACATGGGATCATCTTGTTAAAAAGCAATGTTCTGCTGGGAAACCTTTATTGCCCAGATAATGTGACTGCAATTTGATTCGCGATGTAATTTTATAAAGTCAAGTTTCATTTCAATAAAATCTGTGCAACAGAATTCAAAACAGATGACGCAACATCACCACCTGAGACACTGTCAAAATTGTAACACAAACAGTCGAGCATGAAATAGTAGAAGCACTGACGAAACACTTTAATTCCTGGTTCAGACGTGATGCATCACGCACGTAGACTCTAAACAGTAGCTGAAATAGCGCTAATTGCAGTGTCCAGAATTGTTAATTCGTTAACTCCTCGTTTCATATATTGTACATGCTATACATCATGTGTGAACATGCACTTCAGCTGCAGTGGAGGAGGCGGAACACTTACAAATCAGTGACGTGTGCGCACATGTGAACAGAGTTATCTCTAACCAGCTGTTTAAAAGAAAGCAAGTCTTGTCAAATCAGAATGGCAGAATCATTCAAGGTATGAGTGTCGACCCCACTTCGCTCTTCAAGCTGCAAACCGAAGAAAAAAAGTTAGAGTTTATTCCTTTAACTTTAAAATTATGGCTAAATTTGATCAAGTTACTAAATCAAAATAACTATTTGTATCATTTTTTTCTGACTGGTCATTTAATACAGTATAAGGAAACATGCTGAATTATTATAATTATTATTATTTTTAAACAGATCAAGAAACTGTTTATTAGATTTGTTTTACAGTTCATAAGTGGGTTCGTAGAGCAGGCCAGCCCATAGATCTGTGGATCAACATTTCCTCTTCTGTGTGTTCTGAAACCTCACATTGTTAAGAGGCACGATGACAAATTTCAGACTTTTCCTTCAGCTTATTGTAGCTCGTTACCTGCAGCACAAGAGTAGGTGTATTCTGTCTCAGCCTGGTCACCTGTGACGAGGGAAAAAAAACAACATTAGAGAGACACAACAAACAGTGAAACCTCATTTAAACCCTGTGCGAATACATGCTTTCTTACACAATAAATACAGTTGTAAACAGACATAAGAACACTTTAAGTGTTTGTCACTGTTCAGAACTGTCATCAGTTTAACCTTTATATAGATATTTCATATTAATGTAATTGTGTTTTACCATGTTGTCATTTATTATGTGTTTATACACCAGCTTCAATCTATCTATAGCTTTACACAGGCGAGGTGATAGTTAATGGCCAATGCAATAATAAACACGTAAACACAGGACAATACACAGGGTTTTTAAAATTGTATGACATTTTCTAAGGCTGTCAGAAATTATATATGTTGCGAGTAAGAAATACTTCAGCTTCTTAAACTGGATTTCACACAATCACGTGCTGGAGTGACGGACAAAGATTATGTAATTATCTGACTGAAAGATGAAATAATACAAACACAGTTCAGTGAACTGCTCCGTTTGTTGTACAACTGTACTAAGACGTGCCAGTGTGTTGAGCTTCTGTAAAGGGTTTAGGGTTTTACTTGGTTGGTAGTAGTCATAGATCTTGACCACGGCTGGTTTCAGGTTCTGTACCGGGACCTCCTGTATGAACTCTAAGGTGTGGTTGATGCCTATGCCGGTCTTTAACTGTCAAAAGAAAAACACTAGCAGTCACAAATCTGAAGAGCATCATCTACTGTCTCCCCACTGTGGACTTCTCTCACCTCTCGTAAGTACGCCAGAACATGGTCTTCCTTTTGGTCAACACGATCCACCAACAGGGCATTTTTGAGCTGTGAGGACAACGTCCAGCCGACTTATCAGCACTGTCACCATGACAACAACAACTGACACAAAAAAACCCCAGTGTGGGTAAATATACTGTAAATAAAAATCACCTTTTTCAAAGACTCTGGGTCTGGCACAAATCCAGAGAGTGTTTTAATGTCCAGTATCACCATGTTTGTGCTGTTCTCCTCTCCGCTGTATCTGTTAGTACAAACATGAAGTCATAGATCCAGTATTGCAATATTATCTGTGTACGAGGGATTTGGTTGTTGATCACTCACAGGGACTTGAGCTTCAGGGTGAGTTTGGGTCTGTGAGACTGGCTGGTGCAGTCGGCCTCTGGTTTGACCTCCACACTGAGAGTGGTGACATTAGTTGGAGTTGGGATGTTGTAGTGAAGAGAAATCTGGAAAACAGTAACCAATAAAAGTTATTAACATCCATCCATAGCCACATTTCCAGACAGACCATTGATCCTATTAGTGCTCTGCCACAGGTCCCATAATACTAGTGTTTCCTTCAGACATTCTGGTACGTGTTATCGGTAAAATCAACATTGTTTAACAAAAGATTTTTTCATGTCAAAGTGAAAATAGATTTCTTCAAAGTAATGTCAATTTATTCAAATAAATAATGTAAAATAAGTCATTGCATATGTATATATCCCCTTTAAAGTGACTCACCAAATACAACACAGTTGAAGAAAACTGGTGCTAGAAGTCACACAGTTACTGAAACAGAGATCATCTGAGTGCAGTGAATGTGTCTCAATGATTTCACAATGAAGACACCTGTATCTGGAAAGTCCAGTCAGTGGTGAATCAGTGCCCCTGGCTACAGCTGCACCAAGAAGACAAAACATTTCAAAGCAAATCCGTGAAAAGAGCGTTGAAAAGCACAAGTCACGGGATGGGTACAAGAAAATCTCCAAGTCACTGAGCATCCCTTGGAGTCTAGTTATAACCATCATAAAGAAATAAAAGGAATATGGAACAAACCTAAATGTGATGACTACAGACCATCCCCAAAAAATCCAACCAAGACACCTATGATTCCTCTAAAGGTGATACAAGCTTTAGCAGCTGAGAGGAGAGAGGTAGTGCCTACAACAAGCTTAGCCCAAAGCTCCATGGGAGAGTGCAAGAGATATTATATCTTAAGCCCAAAGGTTCTGTTGTGTGATGAGATCAAAATGTAACTTTTGGTGAACACTGAACATTGCACATCTTCACAAACACACCATCGCCATCGTGAAGCATGGAGGTGGCAGCATCATAATGTGGGGATGCTTCTCAGCGACAGGCCCTGAAGGGCTTGTAAAGGTGGAGGGAAAAATGAATGCAGCAGAGTCCAGAGAAATCCTGGAGGACAACCTGATGCAGTCTGCAAGAGAACTGTGACTTGGAGAAGATTTGTTTTCCAACAAGACAATGACTTGAAGCACACAGCCAAAGCAACACAGAAATGGTGAAGACCACAAGGTACTGGAATGGTTGAGTCAGAGCCCAGACCTAAATTCAACTGAGAATTTGAGGCTCAGACTTGAAAAGGGCTGTTCACTCATGATCCCTGTGCAGCCTGTCAGAGCTGGAGCAGTTGTGCAAAGAAGGCTTTTGTCTGGGCATTTCTGAATTTATTTGACTCCAACAGTGGAGACAGACAGAAAATGTGGGGAATGAGGGTAACAAAGAGGGACTTTTTCAATGCAACAGCTGACCAGAGAGACAGTCGTGATACATGTAAATATAGAGAAAAGAAATGGTGGGCAGTGTCCAGTGCAGAAGCTCAGGAAAAGGCTCCATAACTGGTCCTTTCAGTCTTTCTGTTTCCATTGCAGGGCAGGATCTAACAAACGTTCACTCTGAGTGCATCAAAAAGAAAAACAACAGATGCATGTAGCTCCAGTTTCATGAGCATGTATGAAATGGAACAAAGAAGATTCGTTATGCTTGCCTTTATGTGAATTTTACTTTGTTTATGGTGGTGGTAGAGAGAAAACCACTCGACAAGGACGTCAAAAGGACAGAAAAATGGTGCTTGTTTTCCTGTTATCCATTGAGCATGAACACCTGCATGGTAGTTTTTCAGGGATACACAGAAGTACTTCCCCTGGACAGGGTACTTTTTTCCCCATGAAAACGGCCCTTAAAGAAATTGTATGCTAGCGATTTTTGTAGTTGGAATGGACACAAAGGTTTGGGCCACCAGTTCCTGTAGAAGAAAACAGCCTCGACAGCCCTACTTTTCACTGACCTGCACCAAAGCACATGCAGTGCCCTGCACCTCCACGCTGAACTTTCCCATCATGTCCTGCAGGATCCTCTCCTGGTAGAGCAGTTTGTTGTCCTGATTCACATTAAATGTCAGCTGTTCACTGGGAGCCTGGACTTTCACTGTGCTTGAACCCTGAGGACTGAACACCAGAGTGGCATAGAGAGCCAGAGCCTGAAGAGCCACTACCGTGTCCTGCAACACATAGATATAAAATCAGTGAGGTGGCATTACACCAGTGTGCTTTTTAGTTGCATGTGCATGTTTGAGTTTGGGAGAACATGTAGGTATTACTTCTGGTGGTATAAATGTACAGGTAAAGGTGGAAGCAGCTCCACAATATATATTTACTTGATGACTTACTTTCACACTGACTTTGGTAAAACATCAGCGTGTGGATTAGATGTTCTTTGTAAAGGACCAACTGGATCAATTTGGTTCAGGCTGAAATATCTCCCATTGAATGGATGATCTGACATTCTTGATCCACTGAGGATAAATACCACTGGCTTCAGTCATCGCCTGACTTTTCCTCCAGAAGGATTATAGGGTTCATATTTAGAGTTCTAAATGAAAATTACTGACAACTATGAGATGGTTTATTTTGACATTTGTTCCAGAGGCTCGTGTTTGCTAAGTTGTTCTCTTCCTGCCTACTAGGAGCAAAAGACTCTGGGAAAAGCCCAGGCACTGAACATGTGGTGTTACCCCCAAATAGTGGCAAATACCATTTCGAGCTATTCTATCCACCCACTGACTTTGAGCTATGGAATTATAATAAATGATTTTTACACTTCTTAACAACACTGAAATCAACTTGCCTTCGTTGTACATGAAAAAACAGCTCAGGTCTAACAGAAGTTAAAATTGCAAAGAGGTCTGACCACACAGGACCACAGCTCCTTTTTGCTTCTACTGGGCAGATCTCATTGAATGCAACTAAAACAGTTTGACTTTAACAGTGAACACTCATTTCTACCAGAATTATTTTCATTTGATTGTTTTAGCTTTGTGAAATACATGGCTGACGTGCAGTGCACAGTGAAAAGGGACGGCCCCAAAGAAAGTCCAGCATACATCTTTTTATCTGCGGAGTACCTGAGTGGAGGAGAAGCCTCCGTAATAGTTTTGCTGCTTCGTCAGCCACCTCACGATGCTGGAGGCGTATACCAGATCATCATTAGTCGGGGAGGCGCTGAGTTTGGCCATCAGCACATAGGAGCTGATCTCCACAGACAGAGAGGCTGATGTTTTTGCTGATGTCTGGGACCAGTGGAAGAAACCCCCTAAGAACAGCCATCCACAAACAGACACAGTGTAAGTCACAGTCACAGCAAATCTGAATGATTTCCTGCATGAGGATGATTCACCTTCTCTGATTGCAACTGTATCGAGATGATCCAGAAGGAGAGCACGGGTCTTCATGTCTCCCGCCAGAGTGAAGACGTACGCCATCAGAGCTGTGGTGTAGGTGTTGCTGAAGTCACTGATGGACTCTCTGAGGCACGACAGGCTCTTCCTCAGCACAGGATTCTGCAACATGAAATGTTTGCGTAAACAATCTCACAGTTGAAACAGTGGACATTTCATTTGTTTTGGAGTGATTTTTCCAGAATGTGTTACAATGTGCCACTATGAAAGTACATGTTCAAGAGGAGGATTTAAGACCTAACTGCCTGCTCTGTAACGTCAACATGTGTAATCTGCTGGAAGGATGTCTCAATGTGATCTCAAAGGTCGGTATCGGCTTTCTGAAGAACAAATAAAGCCTTTGTTTTGTGTCAGCTGTCACACAGGTGTCATAAAGGGAGAGCACAAGGCTCAAGTGTTCAATAAGAAAACGAAAACAATCCAACATGTACTTGAGCCAGGAGTAACAGAGCTGCATTCAATACTGCCAGTTTGATAAAGCACCTGAAAATGCATCATTCAACAAAACACACTGAGTTCACTCAGGTAGGGCTCGGAAAGGCAGCACTGAAGCAACACACACTAGACTACAGCTACACACAGCAAGAAAGCCAGAAGATCACAGAAGGGAAACTGAATTCAACACGTTGGATGAGCAGCACATCACTGAGTTAGAGAATACACGTTTTCACCATCTTTTGGAACTTGTGGACCCTCTCCACACTACGTTTAAGACAGTGTCCTACTGGAGCTTTAGAAGTAGGTCTGTGACCTACAAGGGTTTTTATCAGGTGTTGCTGCCATATATGATTGACATGTTATTTTGTGAAATAAAAATAACATTAAAGAACAGCTTGTATGCAGAAATGCATTCATTTTCTTAATGCATTGCAGAGCTAATCAGTTGTCAAGCAAATATTCTAGATTGATTTTCAGAATCGTATGTATTATCGAGAAGAAATGGTATTTGGACTCAATATTGGCAGATGCAAAATATTAAATGACTGACTACATGATTGGGGGCAAAAAAAACCCAAAAAACTTGATTGGGACGTTCCTAGTCTGTTGTGTTCCGATGTTGTTGTTTTCAGTACATTTATACAATCATTTTACTCTCAGTCCAACAGTGATGAAAACACAATGAGTGAATGGTGACACCAAGAGTTTACTCACAGACACTGACATATGCATCTCCAAAAAGGCAGCAGTAATGTATGCACTGAGAGTCACTTCGTCAGACACGCCGCCCTGTAGAGAAGAAGCAGAGCACAGATCTAATCTTAATGTCCAACATTTGACCAGGAGTGACTCACAGCTGCTGTCAGTCTTTTTAAATCAATCGGTGGGATCAGCACTGCAGATCCTGCTGATCCCATCAAGCTTTGAAGCTTTCGGTGGGCTTTTTGCTGCTGCTTTCAGATCAGATCACACAACATGATTGTACAAAGTGAGGGAAGTGGGCCAGCAGCATCAAGTCACAAGACGTGCTTTAAAGCTTGTGTGTGAAACCTGTTCTGTGTGACATCAAATTTGACAGCGATTTCAAATCAGCTGTCATGACAGCGATTCAGATAAATTTGAACTGATCCAGTCAGGAATGTGAGTGTGCATGATTGTCTGTCTCTAAGTGTGGCCCTGCAATGGACTGGCAACCTGTCCAGGGTGTCCCCTGCCTTCGCCCAAAGTCGGCTGGGTTTCCCCCACGACCCTAGTGAGGATTAAGCGATGTACGGATAATGGATGGATGATCCAGTCAGTACTTAAAATTTCTCCTGTTTTTGCATGTAAAGAGCAGTCTAGTTCCAGTAACCTGTGCGGCTCCATAGTTCTTGCTTCATACACAGGTTTGTTACCTCAAACAACACCCCACTGGGTTGATGCTGTTGCTCTGTTACAGCTGGATGTGTGAGCATGGAAAGCAGCTTTCTGTTAACACAGTCTGTGATGAAATGCAGATTTTCTTACAGCCCTATCAGGCACTTTGACCATACCTTCATTCTGTTGTTGAAGAGTTTTCCTGACTGTTGAAAACAGCCATGTCGTTGTTGTTTTCCAGTCAGCCAAGTCACTGACTGTTGAATTATTGTTGGGTCAATGTAGACGAAAGACTGTGCTTTGACAAAGGATCTCAGCACAAAAGCAGTCAACCTGAGAAAGGGCAAAACAGGATTAGTCATCTCTGATGAAATGAAATGAAATGAAATGAAATGAAATGAAATGAAAAATACTTTATTTATCCCAGAAGGGAAATTCAATCTTGTAAAAGCTCACTTTTTAAAATTTTTTTTAATCAATATAACATATATTCTATACAACAACAATCATTCAGTCAGTCAACCGTCAGTCAGTCAGATTTGTTTTTTAAAGTGATGGCTGTTGGCAGGAATTAATTCCTGTATCTCTCCATTCGACAGCGAAGCTGACGCAGCCTCCCACTGAACACACTCTGTTGGTTCTTCATTGTGTTGTGGAGAGGGTGGAAAGAATCCTCCATCATCTTCATCATCTTGTGCAGCATTCTTTTTTGAACAATCAGCTCCAGTGGTTCCAGAGTTATCCCCAGCACAGAACCAGCCTTCTTGATCAGCTTGTTTAGTTTCTTTAAGTTTCTGGTTCTGATGCTAATGAAATTATTATTTTTTTAATTTCTGATGTAGTTATAACAGAGAGGTGCACTTGAGCTGCTTGCAGAGGCTGCTCAAAGAATATTTGAACTTTGCAACATTCACAGTCTGTACAGGTCTGGGCGAAGAGTGTATGAGTGAACTATAGGGTTGTTCTTTTTTAACTGAAATTCAGCAATGAATGTCAAATGTTGCAGAAAGTTAAATATTCATTTTCCAACGAGACAAGTTGGTTTTACTCTGCTGATGATGTGTAGTTAAAAAAAACAATCTAGGCAAAGATTAATTAGATTAATGTACATATTTGGCCACGGAGCTAGTGGTGTGAAGTCACCATGTATGCCTGCAGCACTATGAAGCTTTGGTTTAACAGAAATAATACTTTGGGATGAGAAAAATAGAAAAGCTGAAAACATTTTGGGGGAATGTTGTCAACATGGTTTGTCTATTCTTCATCGAGAACAGAAGGTAAGACGATGTTACCCTCAAGAGCCAGAATGCTGACCATTGTTCTTGGCGATAGCAAGTTAATCACAACCATCCCGATTTAAACTCATAAACTCAAACATGTTTGATATTATCTGGGCAGCCCAATAAGTCTGCAGGCTGTTCGATAAGTTTCCGACTGGCTCTACAGACCCCTCATATCAATAAATATTTATGGCACAGTATCGGTTCAGACCAAGATCCCAAACCAGATTCCTCCTCTGACTGTCATAAGGGTTACTATGAAGGTAAATCAGCCGAAGACTCTTGTAATGTGAGCCTGGCATAAATGAATTGTAGTCATCGTAGCTGTCAGTTACCTTCACATGTGGGTTTCCTGCTCTGACAAGTCAAAAGGTCTGTGCAATCAAAATCTCCTACAGACCATGTTGTGTGGTCGGGCTTAAGTGATGAACTCACCAAGTGTTCCCCGGTCCTGATCCAAATGTGCTGTAAGCACCATCACCATGTTTGTAAGTCAGCTGTCTCTGGTAGCCTGTGTGACAAGAGAAACATGCTTTTTATGAAACTGTGAGGCACTATGACGTGCACACAGAAATGTTTTGTACTTTTCTTAGTTTCATGCATCACATGATGTCAGTCAGATTTTTGAAATTTATTTTCTGTTCATATTTGAGTGCTTTTGGTTCTCACCTCAACCCTCAGGACTACTTCTAGACATGTTTTCCTTTACATTTTGTACAGACTAGGTAAAAAATGTTAATTTAGCAGTTCAGATGTTTTTGGCTGTAAAGCATCTCAATACCTCAACATTTTGTAGATTTCTGTTACACTCCTTGATGTAGAAAGGCTCTTTTAGTCCCACCTTCCAAAGTCTAAATATCTGTTTTCTATTTCTCTGTAATTTTAAAACACACAGTGACTCACCACTGGTCAGGAAGTTGGAAGCCTTCTTAATGATGGCTGGAGTCAGCTGCTCTGTGTCTCTTAGGTACTGGAGGATGTAGATGTTGGGGGCCAGGAGCGCCATGTTCTGCTCTCCACATCCATAAGGCATTTTCAAAAGACCATCCAGGTTCTTCAAGGCCCGGCCAAGGATGTCACCTGTACAAAGACACACACAACACATAAAGAAACTGACCCTGAATAGCCCTCTTGAAGAGGTTTACCTTCCCTTCAGGAGGCTTGGGCCCAAAAAAATTACCTACAAAACTCAAGAATCTTTACTCCATGTTTTCCTTCCACTTCATCTCCATTATCTCTTGTCCATCAAACAATAGGCAAAACGCTGAAAAAATACTAAATGCAAGCAGCAAATCTGAGGTCAGATCAGTCGTTCAGTTTACCCAGCACTGATAGTGAAACTCGGACAGATCCATCAACCACATTCTCAGGGAGTCGGAGCTCTGCTTCCTCCGTCAAAGCCTCCCCTGTGTACAGGGAAAAACAAAACAATATGGCGACTGTGTTTCTCTATCAAATGTTGGTTGTGATCAAAATGTATTTTTACAGTTAAATCTGAAATAATTAATCGTCACATTACGATTTTTCTGAAAATAAAACTTTAAAACATCAATCAGTGAGTAAAGAGTCCTTATTCCCATAGTTTATTCTAACCTTCGGTGAATATACTGTTTTTCAAATTGAAAATACAAAAAACAAACAACAAAGAAAAACCAGTAATCCATGTAAGGCTTGAAGTTTTGGGGGTTGACGTTCAACTATTTTGAAACGTGTGGTTTAAATCATACAGACCTTTTGGGCAGAACATCCAGTTGTGGGTTACCGTCTCTTCTGTTCCCTCAGCCTGAAAGGAGAATCAACTCATACTTAATTCCATTGTATAGCCACACACAAACATTTGTTTCTGTCTGTGAGCAGGATTACACAAACACGACCACATCAGTTTCCTTGAAACTTAGTTGAGAGACAGAGCATGGACAAAAGCAGAACACATTCAGTTTTAGTGCTGATCTGGTTTGAGTGACAACATCACATGTCATCGTTCACCTTGTTGTTCAGACACCAACCTTTACTATGAGAGATCGTGTGACCACATCAATGCGACCTCTGTCTGGGACGCTCACAATCTCATTATCACATAAAATGTGGGATGCCACTGCCTCAGCACTCACAGACACATTCACAACTCCTAAAAGAAACAGACTTTAGAAAGAGGACAACTGATGTAGGGTGCACATGTACTGTTATAGTGAATGTAGAAAATCTTCCAAAGGGGTGTACTATGAAGCAAGACGAGTAGTTTATGAGGTATTTTGAGCATAAAGTCAGAGCACAGAATCTTCATTCGTACTATATTTTTTAGATCACTTTGGTAAGTGATGTTACAAAGCTAGCCTGCACTGGAGGACATTCGGTTCAGAGTTATGGATTTTAATCAGTCTAAATCAGCCTCCCTCTCACCAGTTTTTTTCCTGACATTTCTCTGTGAGTGATACAGACTCTCAGCTGAGGGATTATGTTATATCTGCAAACCTGGTGAGCCGTGTGTTAATGATCCCACTGAACGAAGCTGTGCCCATAGGGTTGCACAAACTGAATGAATGCTGCTGCCATAAGAACCCACATGCATTCAGTTGGTGATGCAGAAAATGCACAAGTACTTGGTTCTGATTAGCTGCCAAGTCCGTTTAACTCTGCTGCTACTGCAGCTAAATGATTAGAAAATTGTAGAGTCTGCTGGTATTTATCATTCAATCATTACTTTCCCCTTGATTTTGCCAACAGAGTTTTCCACATATCCTACTTCATTGGACAGTGTCAGACCTCAATGCACTTCTTTAATAGCATGTTCAAATGGATGAAGTTTAAAGTTTAACAACTGCACTGTGCAGCTTTCATATCAGAATTAAGCGACTTCACTTTAAGTATAGGGGCTGCAGGGTGGCACAGTTGGTAGCACTGTTGCCAGCAAGAAGGTTGCCGGTTCACGTCCCAGTGGGGGCACTGGAATCTTTCTGCGTGGAGTCTCCATGTTCTCCCCGTGCAGCGTGGGTTCTCTCCGGGTTCTCCGGCTTGCTCCCACAGTCCAGGATCATGTTGAGGTTAATTGGTGATTCTAAATTGTCCGTAGGTGTGAATGTGAGTGTGCTTGGTTGTCTGTCTCTAAGTGTAGCCCTGTGATGGACTGGTGACCTGTCCAGGGTGTCCACTGCCTTCACCCTAAGTCGACTGGGATAGACTCCAGCCCCCCCGCGACCCTAGTGAGGATTATGTGGTGTATAGATAATGGATGGATGACTTTAAGTATATTAACTAACGCGATTGCCAGTTTTCTACAGACATTCCTCTCCTGCATTATTCACAGTAGCCGTGCTTTTCACAGTAATAAATAATTATATATAAATATATTTTTTAGTGCTCCATTATAGTAACCTTCCTCCTGACTGAAGTAGGAAACACATATTTTGTCCAATTTGTGCAGAAGTAGTCCAATGACAGGTTAAATGTCCCCTTATAGGCACACAGAGCCTGATGAAGAAAACCTGAGTTAACGAGGAAAGCTAATAATCAGCATCATGATTATCTCTTACTGGGGTTTCAGTTTTTGTCGGCTGGCTTACACAAAAAAAAAAAAGCCCTGCTATGTCAAACTTGCTTCATGGTACACCCCTCAGATGTGAAAGACACATACTACAAACACTGATGCCCTAATAAGCTATCATTTCAGTATATTCAACACTGAGGGAGTGCTATTTTTAACGATGCGACCTTACCTAAGGCTGAGGGGTTCATGGTCCAGCTGAGGGTCTTGCGCTCGTTGCCACACAGGCAGGATGTGTACTGGTCACCAGAGAGGGGGGTGAGGGTGTAATCTGGAGAGGGGCTGGGTGTAACAGTGACCTGTTCAAGAGACACGATCAAAACAATAAAAACACTGCAATATTTTTGTATTGCCTCTCCTCTCTGCACGTTAAATACAAAGCTGGAGGTGATTGAATTCTTCATTTTGTCATGACAGTGGTTTCTGCTAAACATCCACTACAGCTGATTTTTTTTGGTATTTAAAGCTCTACCTGAGTTTCAGGAGGAATAATTTAGGCTTGGTGGAGACAGGTTTACCCTACAAAATGTCTCATCCTGGGGGTTGGCACCTTCCTTAAATTCTTTAATACTAGCAATCAATACCATTGATTGTTCAAGTATGTTTGCATGTTCCACAGGATTGCTACACATCTGGCCTTTTGAAAAATCTGCAACAGGGGCGACTGCAATTAGCTCTCATAACTGACAGGGAGCACCCCAAAAAGACATCACCATCAATATTTAAGCTGATTCTTGGTGTTTCAAATTCTTTCTTAGATGCTGCAGTTTTTCTTCTGTATCACTCTGTAATCGCTGTGTCATCCCACTGGTTATTTCGGACTCCAGTCACTGGTCAGCTCTGGTCAGCGCTACAGTTTCACACAATGGTAGATTCAGCAAAATCCAACTCTGTTCAGCGTAAAAGTGCCAAAAGTTTGAACTCACTGTACACTGTCAAAGTTTGGGTCACATACCACAGCAGCACAACACAATGATCGAACACCTGTAGAAAAAACACACGTGATTCTCAGTGTGGGGGCAACTCACATCTGTTTGGTTATCTCCTGCTCTCTGTGCTCACATATGAAGTGTATCAGAAAAGGTACAGGACTGGTGTCACAAAAGATATATTTCAAACCCAGACTATGAGTTTTCTCCTTCAGACGATCAACCAGCACGTCTACAAAGAGATCCTATGACGTTTGCTTTGTTCAGTGCGTGAGAAGAGGCGAGAGTGGTAGCAGGACAAGTGGAGGCTGCTTCACCATGACAACCTGCTCACAACGCCCTGAGCATCCCACAGTTCCTGGTTGAGAAGAACATCTCACTCACCCCACCTGGCTCCCTGTGATGTTTCCCTCTTCCCCAAGCTCAACGGGTCATCAAGGGGACCCGTTTTGAAGACGTGGAGGACATCAAGATGGCTGTGATGACGGAGCTGTGGAGGATCCTGGAAGAATCCTTCCAGGAGTGTATGGCGGCGTGAAGGCAGAGAAGGCTGGGGAAGTGTGTTAGACTCCAGGGGGATTACTTTGAAGGGAGAAACTTGTAGTTTGGATTTGAAATATATCTTTTGTGACAGCAGTCCTGGAACTTTTCTGACACACCATGTATAGTATATTTTAATGCATGAAACTGTCATTTACATACGTATCTGTTTCTGTTTTTAAATGAAGGAACGAGTAATAAATAATGTCTGAAATGCGTCTCACTGACACTGTTAATATTGGTCTGTCACTTTCAAGCTGTTGCTCTGTTTAGCTAAAATTCTGATTTCTTAATCGCAACACCTTCTATTACTCTATTCTATTCATAGATTTTGAAGCCACTATTAAATTCAGATAACAAATGTTCCACAGTTGAGGAGAAAAGGAACTGCTGTAGCTGCGTTGTTCTTGTGAAACATCCACCGTGTCCATGTTGCATTTTGTTTAATATACAGACTAAACCCTCTGGAGCTGACAAACTTAAAAAATAAGTCCTCTTTTTAATTTATTTAAATCATGTTGGAATTGCAAGTTTAACCGCCGTTTTGCACGTTAACAAGACAGCACTTGTTTCCATTTTGTACTGTGCTGCATTATACAATGACATACAGTTTGTCAAAATAAAATGAACTAAGATGAAACGGTCATTTAGATTTAGCAACTAACTTCTTGGTTGAAAAATAACCAACAGATGATTTGCTTCTGCGAACATGCTTCTTTGTTTGTAGTTTGTGGCTGCCAATATTCAGGAGGAAACAGCCCATGAGACCAGCGACAAAGTCCAGGATGTGTGTGTAGAATCTCACTCATCCAGATCATGGTTTTCCTGGGAGGTTCAGTCAAAGGAAACTGGACTTCACTTTAGGTTTTAGAAGATATTTCACCTCTCAACCATGAGCCATCCTCTTGGATAAGAGTTGAAAACGTCTTCAAGAACCTAAAAAGAAGTCGAATTTCTTTTGATTGACCCTCCAACAAGTGCAATGATCCAGTGTGTTTGCAACAGTTGGTGTAATGTTCCTGAGGTTTTTTGCCCTCCTGTAAAAAACCCAAATCACAATACACTGGAGGGACTTACCCTGGGGGAAATCTTTAGGACATAAGTCCGGAGGAAATTAAAGTTTTTAGAACATTTGGTGGAAAAGTATTATTGCTGTAAGTAGTATTGTGAGTATACATTGATTACCATGATGCAGCTTGACAGGTAGTTGAAGACGGTTGCTTTCAGTTCAAACTGCTCCCCCCGGATGATGGAGTAGGGCAGCGTGAGATCCAGGAAGAAGGGCTGGAAGACGGTGATTTCTTCACGAGGAGCCAAACCAAAACCCTGAGCAGACAAACAGAAAGTCTCTGTCTCCCAGGTGGTGATGGTGTCTGGGACGGTGAGGGACACGTTCTTTGTTCCAGATGATCTGGATCAGCAGATATACACAAACACACTTTGTCAGATGGTAATGCCTTCTATCATATGGTGTCAGAGTTTAATGAAAGAAAAACTCTTCAATGTACAATGAAACAGAATAATATGCCGTGTGAAAGTAACAGTCATGTTAGAATGGTGCTAAATCAGAGTTAATTTGCAAAAACAGATAACTCCATTTTTGTAGATTTTCAGAAAACGTATTTTTTGTGATTATATCAATCAAACTGAAGTTGAGTTGATTTGACTCAATAGAAATCCATTCATTGTCTATACACTGCTTAATCCTCATTAGGGTCGTGGGGGGTTGGAGTCTATCCCAGCTGACTCAGGGCAAAGGCAGGGGACACCCTGGACAGGTCACCAGTCTATCACAGGGCTACACTTAGAGACAGACAACCAAGCACACTCACATTCACACCTACGGACAATTTAGAATCACCAATTAACCTCAACATGTTTTTGGACTGTGTGGGAGGAAGCCGGAGAACCCGGAGAGAACCCACGCTGCACGGGGAGAACATGCAAACTCCACGCAGAAAGATTCCGGTGCCCCCACCGGGACGCGAACCGGCAACCTTCTTGCTGCGAGGCAACAGTCCTACCAACTGCACCACCTTGCAGCCCTCTCAGTAGAAATGACATGACAAAAATAGACATAACTTAAATTGGAAAAGCGGTTATTCTGAAGGTTTGTGAAGATGGAGTTATCTGTTTTTGCAAATGAACTCTTCACCTCTTCTACTCAGTATCCTAACTTTAAACGTATTTTGCAATGTTTAAAACGTACCTTTAAATCAGTGCAAAGTGATATGCCTTTAACTCTTCCTTGCACTTTCCATCCAAAGCAATATTGTTCACTAAATATTTATCACAGCAAAGTGTCGTGCCTCAGGATATTTTCTTCTGTTGTGCACTAAGTACATATTTTTCAGTCATACAGTATCCCACCATCGTGGTTCTGACATTGCCAGATTACAGCCAAACCTCTACAAAGTTTTGAAAAGATATCTCTACTGACAGCATTTTATTGTGGGAAACATAATCATTTCATAACATAGAATATTCAATATCTTTGATAAAAATGACAAATACATAGAAAAATAAAATCTAAAAGTAATATCATAACAAATGATAGAAGATCTGGATATACAGGACTGTTCTGGAAAACAAAACAAAACAAAACAAAAAAAACACAAGCTCACCCAATTTCCACCAAGTCCCAAATCCAAGTCTCAGGGAAAAACGTGCGGACCGTCACAACTGGTGCTGGATTTGATATTCTTGCATTCATGTGAAAGTCGCTGCGAAGTCTCGAATTCTTCATCATTATTCTCCTAGAACCTGAAGAAATCCGACATACATAACAATTTTAACTTTGTTAAAATTATCCCTAACTAACCCTAACTATTATTATTATTATCAAATTGGCTGGAATCAAACAGTCTCACCAGATCTGCCCCTGGAACCTTTTCTTCTGAGGATTGGTAGAACCTCACATGATGACAACAAGTTTGTTGCCATTCTCAACCCCAAACTCTAGATAATTTAGCAAAATGTGAATTTTTCACCATATAACTGGGTGAACCATAACAACAGTAAATCAGGTTATTCAGTTATACACAAAGGTTTAAAAAAAAACAAAACAAAAAAAAACAACAACGGTTAAACAATGAGAAATGTTTCTGGGTTTGAATGAGAAAATTGACTCTTTTTTTGTCTCACACTGAAGCAAGTTTCAGCATCTCCGCCCTCTGGTTGAACACTGGACATTTTCTTGACAGGCAGCAAATCGAATATCTAAAATGACAGATTCCTTTAAACATAAATTTTGAAATCACTAGAATGTTAACACATTAACTTAATAGAACACCAGCATTTATTTCAAACAAGCCCTTCACATGAATCCTAAATCATAAAAATAGAATTTCTGGCCAACTAAGGTGCCAGTGCCCCTTTTCAGAATGTGTTTTTGCTTCTTCCATTGGTTTTTCTACAAATGAGATGCACTGTCTGTGGTGTGTATGTTGCTGTCTGCCAGCATGTCGGCTGATATTACCAGTAGCAGTCACCAAAGTAAGCACTGAGGCTGCAAAATGCAATCGGCAAACTTTGAGTCATGTTGTTTTTCATCTCTCTCCCTACATTTACTGTCTATTCCATAGACTGTACATAAAAGATGGACCAGGTACTGTAATGTCACTCACTGGTTGGTGGACTCTCATTTTGAAGAGGTTTGAATTTTGGGACGTAACAAACAAGAGGTGGATCTGAGTGATAACCAGAGGACACGATCCACAGTAATACAGCAGCAACCTGTCAGGAACAAGGCAGCCACCGCCAAAAGCATACCCTGTTTTTCCCATAAACAGGGGCTATTGTCCCCGACGCAGTGGCCATGGGTTCAAGCCCGACTCATGGCCCTTTGCTGCAGGTCCCTCCCCCACTCTTCACCCCACTTTCCTGTCTTCCTCTCTCCAATGTACTGTCAATAAAGCCAAAAAAAAAAAAANGAACACCAGCATTTATTTCAAACAAGCCCTTCACATGAATCCTAAATCATAAAAATAGAATTTCTGGCCAACTAAGGTGCCAGTGCCCCTTTTCAGAATGTGTTTTTGCTTCTTCCATTGGTTTTTCTACAAATGAGATGCACTGTCTGTGGTGTGTATGTTGCTGTCTGCCAGCATGTCGGCTGATATTACCAGTAGCAGTCACCAAAGTAAGCACTGAGGCTGCAAAATGCAATCGGCAAACTTTGAGTCATGTTGTTTTTCATCTCTCTCCCTACATTTACTGTCTATTCCATAGACTGTACATAAAAGATGGACCAGGTACTGTAATGTCACTCACTGGTTGGTGGACTCTCATTTTGAAGAGGTTTGAATTTTGGGACGTAACAAACAAGAGGTGGATCTGAGTGATAACCAGAGGACACGATCCACAGTAATACAGCAGCAACCTGTCAGGAACAAGGCAGCCACCGCCAAAAGCATACCCTGTTTTCCCCATAAACAGGGGCTATTGTCCCCGACGCAGTGGCCATGGGTTCAAGCCCGACTCATGGCCCTTTGCTGCAGGTCCCTCCCCCACTCTTCACCCCACTTTCCTGTCTTCCTCTCTCCAATGTACTGTCAATAAAGCCAAAAAAAAAAAAAAAGCATACCCTGTTTTCAAACTCACAACTGAGACCATAAAGTCATCATGAAAATGTTTACTGAGATAACAAATCTGATGAGAAGTAGGGTCATGTTCCCACAGACTTCTATACAATCTGAACTCTTTTTGGAGGAATTGCCCCCTGCTGGCCATCAGAAAGAATGCAGGTTCCAAGTACTCAGTTGGTGGCATTACTTTTCAAACCAGGAAGCTACACCCATCTTTTATACACAGTCAATGGCCCGCTCTAATAAAAATATAAAGGCTCTAAAACAAAAACACACACAAATAAGAAATTAGCATGCCAGCAATATTCACATCAGTCTGGACCAGTTTGACAAAATGAATAAGACAAACTCACTGTGTTTTTTTTTCAGTACTCAAAATGTGTTTCGATCATTGGTCATTTTCTTGGATGTTTTAGCTTCACTGTACAGAATGATGTCCTGTATGTTACACCATCTAAAGGAAAAGTATCTGCATATTCAGAGAAGCTTGACGAGGACAGAGGTGTAGATGTCATTTTAACGGTGAAACTGCCGGGGGAAGGATCTCAGGATTGCCTTGTGAGTACCTGATAAGTGGTGTTGTAGACACTTCTTTGAGGACAGCCATGTCCCCAGTCTGGACAGAGAAGACATATGGTTTAAATGAAGAGTTAAGAAGGCCATCTATGTTAAAATGGAAAAGTGACCTCCAAACAGAGGAGGAGGGTCTATGAAATGACTTATCAGATACTTGCACCATAGTCCTTCGATCCCTCACCAGGTGGTTTCTCAGGCATTCATACTTTAAGTCATTTTGGGCCAATAATGGGCTGCGAGCCATGTAAATTGGGGGTGAGCATAAATACGTGGAACTCCCGACCAGTCAGTTGGAACTGAGTTCCCCTGTGGAACTAATATGCTGTAAATAACTTTTTGTAATCTAATTTCCTTTAGCTTAACACGTTTATCATCATGTTATCATTGTTTTTATTACTTCAATCTATCCATCCATCCATCCATCCATCCATTATCTATACACCACTTAATCCTCACTAGGATCATGGGGGGGCTGGAGTCTATCCCAGCTGACTTAAGGCACCCTGGACAGGTAACCAGTCTATCACAGGGCTACACTTAGAGACAGATACCAAGCACACTCACATTCACACCTACGGACAATTTAGAATCACCAATTAACCTCAACATGTTTTTGGACTGTGGGAGGAAGATGGAGAACCCGGAGAGAACCCACGCTGCACGGGGAGAACATGCAAACTCCATACAGAAAGATCCCAGTGCCCCCACCGGGACGAGAACCGGTGACCTTCTAGCTGCAAGGCAACGGTGCTAACCACTGAGCCACCTTGCCACCCTTTTTATTACTTAACTATTCGTAAGGATTCTGACAGTTACCTTTCCAGCATCAAGAGTCTTTCCCGGCTCCTGGATGAGGACACTCTGGTCCACAATGCTCACACCACACAGAGACTCTGGCTGGGCTGTCACCTGCATGCTGGTGTCCTCTCCTGGAACAGCTGACGATGGTGAAAACTTCAGCGACACCTGAAATACAAAACACACAAACGCACAGCTGTAAACCTACAACAGTCTAGTTTGTGGTTTGACCTCGGCCACAGTTTACAGGTTCAACATAGAAGGTTATGGACAACTGAATCATATTTTTTGACTTTTGTTTATCAAAGCACATAAAGGTAAGTGCTACTGCTCAAACAGAAAGGACTTAAACAACATAACTGTTTGGAATCTTCATCAGTGAAAACTACAGTCTTTCATTAAACACTTATGTGATCATTTTGTGCAACAAGCATGTTGTCTAAACTTCATCACAACAAGACACTGTTACATAAAGAGTTAAATGTTAACCTGATGTATAACGCGTCATCTTCCTTCACTGACCTTGTGACTGAAGCATTTCTCGGTGGAGAAGTCAGCACTGTGTTTGATGACTGTCCCATCATGGAGGACAGCATAGGCCACAACCTGAATGTCTGGTGCCATTTCAGGAGACACTGTCAAATTAAAGGACACTTCGCCCTCATTCACTGAAACAAAAACAAGAGCAAACATAAGTCAGCAAAGTGTGTATTTCAGTCTTAAACTGCATTATCGTTGAATGCTTATGTGGCAATCTCTTAGATTTCAGTATTGGTTGTTTTAGAGAAATGTGCAGCTACTGGTGGTAACGGAAAACATGGTTTAATACGACAAATCACAGAATTCTGGGGGCAGCAACACAAGCGGATGCCATTTTATTAAATGAGTCAGACAGTAGTTGCCACTGTTCCATCACTCTTTGTGATTTCATGCTGCACAAGGCAGCAGTCTGTGAACAGCAGGGTTAGTTGCTGAGAAGTTGGAGACATGCAGCCAGTCACCTGCCTATTCCTTCTTGTTCCATCACTCCCTGCAATATTTCAAACTGATCCACTGTCGAGAAATGCTTGTTGTGTTGATGTGTGGTTGCATTTTTGATAAACAATTTCGCTAAGCTTATTGACAGACATATTGCATTTCCTGCCACTACTTAATAATAAAAATGAGCTCATGTTGCCAGTTAAAGGCTTTTAATGTGAAGCTGCAGCAGTAAAAACTGTTCAGTTTGGATTTGCAGCAAGTTAATTCGACACCGTTTCTGGACATGTTGCCACAGACATCCAGTTAATAATATCCATCATCACTGCACCTTCTATACATGACAGACAGTGGCTTAAGTGACATTTATTTAAATGAAAATCTTCAAGACTACCACTTTAAAGGTTAAAAATGACTAATATTTAGGGACAGACTTTAAACAGACTAACATTCAGTGTACAGCTTCAGATGTCACAACGTTCTAGTCTCTGGTTCAAAAGCCCGGTTTAGCATTTTAAAAGAGAAAGTCTCTATACATAATTCACAAGTGTTTCTGCAGAGTGAACTTGGTATGTATGGACACACATCTACAACCAGAGTCATTGCTAAAGCTGTCATTTTCATATACCTTGTTGATTTTGCACATGAACCTTTGTGGATCCTTGCATGGTGATAGCTCCTCTAGATAAGACCTGGAAAAATAAAAACAACAATGGTTCAAAGATTTGTTAACTCACTATATAAACTTATTCACTCCAACAGCAAATTTCAGTGCCAGCTGACCGGATCGGATTATTTGGATGTTACGTGTTTATATTATCATTTATCCCTGTGACCGAACTGCATTGCAGCAACAACAGCAGCTATGACAAGTTGATATTCAAATTTTCATTTTCATTTTCAAACTGTTGGCTAAAAATTCAGTGAGACAAATAGACCACAACCATGACAGTGACTCAGTCTACCAGCAAATCCACCTTTTCAGTAACGTTTTAGCAGGCTAACATTTGTTGATTAGCACTGAAGCAAAGTACGGCCAAGGTTTGATAGGAAGTCCATCAGCGTAAACTGTACATTAAAGATAGATGTAGGCACTGTGACATCACCCATTCATTTGTGGACTACTCTTTTGAAGTGTGGAATTAGACCGTCACCACACTCAGTAAGCAACCTGTCATTCATAAAGTAACCCCACACTACAACATATCCTGCTTTCTTGTCTATTCTACTCAAAATGGGACTATAATTTACTAAATGAGCATGCTACTATATTTAAAAAGTCTTGAAAATAGGGACTCAGACCATAAACTAATAAGGAATATGTGTGCTTAGATAATAATGGAAGAAGTAGGAGAAGTCTTCATAGACTTCTTTACAATCTGACTTGAGAGAAGTCGCCCCCTGCTGGCTTTTTAAAAGTGGTTTGTGGTCGACAAACCAACCCGCAGACTGACGTTGCCCTCACCACAGCCCCACTGCTGGCATGACTAAACACACACACTTACTCACCAAATGCATCACATCCACAGAGTTCTCGTTCTGCCCAAATATGGAGTATTTAATGAAGACAGTCTCTTCACTGTGACAGCGAAGTTGCTCATCTTTCTTCTTCACCTCCAAAGAGCCTTCCGCTGTAACAGAAGACCTGATTATGATGCCAACTTCAGCATCATTCTGTCGTCCCAACCAGTACAATCGTCCAGATGTCACCTCAGCCTGAGAAAAAGCACCATTAACAAACTTCATCTTATTTACTGTCGTTTTCTTGTCTGAGTATTGCTTTGACACAGGCATAGTTTTTTTGTTCCTTTGCTAAAGCGCAATCGAAGGTAGAATTTTGAAAACAAACTTTGGTTAACGAGTGTTAAAAGTCCTCTCCAGGCTTTACGAATAAGTCAATTCATTTCGCATTACATTACATCTACATACCTATTCTATATTTTGACCAGTTCAAAGGTAGATAGTCTATAATAAAACAAACGAGACATTTATCCTTAAAAATAGACTACAAATTATTCTCCCTTGTTTCACTGGGGATCTGTCAAGAATGCATCCTTTCTCTTGCCCAAAGTCGGCTCAAATAGACTCCAGGCCCCCCTCGACCCCCTGCAGGATAAAGCAGGTGCAGTTAATGGATGGATGGATGACCCAAGTTTAAACTGAAGGCACTGTGCATGTGTTGGTATAATTAAGGGATGTGTTTTAGAACAAGTCAGCTGCAGTTTTAAAACCATCCTTCTGAATTAGTGTTCGTAACGATAACTTTTAATCAGGGCCAACACCAATAACCGATAATGGGAACCGATATAAAACAAGCATCTTAATGTCAAAACTTCATTGAAATACTTTTGCTTATTTATGTTATATGTATGTTCAAATGAAAGAAAATGTTTCGACATGTAAACGTCAGTGTAAGGAGGCTGTTACAGGTGAGTCAGACAGCACTGTGGGCGGTGTACAGACTGCTGACTACAAATATAACACATTTTTAAATTAATTGATTATCAGAACTGGGTTAAAACAAAACAAAACAATAGTTGGTCAACTCCGAGTCTGAATACATGTTTGTGAAAACTTCCAATGCAAAGTGACCAAAGCAGATGCAGTGTCATTAAGTGATGCCATCATCTTGCTCAAACTGTACTGATGTGACTGAAAAGTTTCCCTCACAGACATAACAAGGAATGTCTTACGTACCCTGAGTCTGAGGTCCCCATCGAGGTTAGTTGTGTTCAGTGAGAAAGCTGCGATACCATTGCTGTCAGTTGCTATGGACTGTTTCCTTTGACGGTTGAAAAGGTGGACCACTTTGTCAGCGATCGGTGTGTTATTGTAGTGAACCACTTTAACCTGTTGGAAATACAAAGTTATGCCACTGAGAACATACATGGCCTCAGCCGTCCTGTGTACAGGATCACATCTATCTTGCACTTACTTTTACTTCAACAGTTGATCCTGGTATGTAAGTCTTGGGTGTATCAATGAAGGACAGCTTTGTTACAATCTGTGAAACTTTTATTTCTTTCTCTTGAGGTTGTGAAATGCCTGTAAAAAAACAAACAAACCAAAAAACTCCACATTACAACAGCGTGTATGCAACACTGCATAAAACTTTGGTTTAATTTTCAAAGGCAATTTTTGACTTGCCTGTCCCATCCTCTGTCACTTTGGCCTGGAGAATTACTTTAGTTTCTCCAAAAACTCCGAGATAGGGAAATAGTTGACGTGACATTGTGGAAGAGACCCTGAAGGTGAATGTGGCACAGCCACTCTTGTTTGTCTGGAAAGCACAAAGGTAATAATTATATTACCGTGACATGAATGTGGGTCATCTACCTTCTCTCCACAGTGCACCCCGGACATGCTAGAAATAAATATTTTGTGAAATTCTGAAACAGCTGCTTTACAATGTATTTCTAAGAAAGAAAGGAAAGGAAAAGCTGTAAAAGCAACTGAAATGATGAATGCACCGGTTGTCTAGCTCCAGAGGCGGCGCTGACTCTGATAAGCATCCTCGAGTGATGTCACTTGAGTCAGTGTCCGACTGGGTTGAAGACAACAAGGTAAAAAATGAAAAAGATTTAGTAGCAGGAGAAAGATGGAAGCTAACCAAAGCGTTGGTGTCAGACATAGTTCATTTTCAGTGTTCTTCGTGGCTTCATTCAGACATACCCACCACAGTGACAGAGAGCTGAGGAATGAGCAAGATTGAACAGTACATTAAGGTTGAAGGAGCCACGAATAAACAAGAGACTAAAGCTAAACTAATATCAAGTATGTGGTGAAGGCTTTGGGCTACTGATCAGGTCACCAAGCTACCGCTGTTATGCCCTGTTTGCTCCAGACGTGCTATGGTGTGGCTGAGCCTGCTAGCGAGCTGGATAAGAGAAAAGACCATTTTTCTTGTGGGATCAATAAAAAACAAACAAACAAACACACAAACAAAAAGCCATCATTTAGTTTGCTAGATTGATACTGCTCTTGATGTTTCCTATAGTAAAGTGGATTTTGAAACTGGTAACCATCTAAAATGTGCTTTTGGATGCTCTTCATGACAGTGTAACAAATACACCTGACCTTGCCAGTTATTGAAGCAACAACCACAACCAGGCTGCTCATTGGATTTACGTGGCTATTTGTGAATGCAGCAGAATGCAGTTCAGATTTGACTGCACTGAAAGTTACACAGAAACGTTACTAGGTCTGACCGAGTAAGATGGCTATCTAAGCAACCGTGCTGGGGCTTTCCACTGGTGATGTAACATTTGCCCTTGGGTGATGTTTCAAGGTTCATACATTTTGACGGCACTGCAACTTGAAAACGATGCAAAATAGGCACAATGTTTGTATCAGAAACCATGTGTAGGCTTTCCACTGGAGATGTAACACTGATCTTGGGTGATACTTCAAAGTCAAGCTCAAGGTCAAAAAATTATGCTATTGCCATTTTATTTGAAACTAGAGGGCCCCCAGCAGAGGGATGTAGTTGCTCCTGCTGGCCATGACACGATATCTTTGAAAATGTGAACTTTGACCGCTCCTGTAAAATATCAACTTTTTATCCCTTAGTATTCGAGCTAGAAACTGTTCACAGACACAAAGATAGACAGACACACAGATGGGACCAATTACTCTACTGGTTGCCCCATGGTCAGGGGCAACTATAATAACATGTAATGTATACATGGCTTGTACCCATTTCACCTTGGACAACCAGCTAGCCATGATTAAGGAAAGAAGACACCTATTTGGTGGTAAGTTGGACGGAATAATGGTTTACTGGGGCTCAGTGCAATCATGGCTGGCAGGGGCAACTATATCTGTATTTGCCCTTATATCATTTAATGTTTACTGTGGCACTTACGGTAATATATAGTGTGACAATATATTGGGCATACTCAGATGCCACAGTCGGAGGAGGTTGGGGTAGGTGGATAGGTCAACAACAATCAACACAACATTACTGGTGCTTCACAAAATGTGTCAAAGTATACATACACATAAGGACACACAACATAGTAACATTCAGTATTTGTAGAAACTGTACCTGCTTTGCCTTGTTTTGGCACTGTTCTGATCCATAGCGACTCATCCCGTAATATTTACAAATCTTAAGTTCTGCAGTACCAGGCACAGGCTGCCCGTATGTATATCTGAGAGGGAAATATGAAGAAATCATGGGTTTGGCAGTAAAAAGGTTTTGTTAGTTGGAATGATAAAATGTCATGTACATGAAGAAATAAAAATCCCACTACTTACGTTGCACATACATCCACGGTTACTTCCTTTTGTGCGATGTTTATTTCATCAAATGCATTTATCTTTACATCAAATTTTGGCAAAACTGTGGAGAAAATATGGTCGTTAGCATTCCTCTGTCATAAAAAAAAAGAATCGCAAGAGAGGAACATAACGTACCATATTTCTTCACTTTGAAGCTGTGCTGTATTGTCGTTTCATCAGTCTTCACAATAACTTTATAAAGTCCTTCATGGCTCTCAGAGTTTAAAGAGTGAGAGAGCTGCAGTATTTTACCACCAGATGTTTTGTTCAGCCACTGTCCAATCCGGTTGTCCTTAGCATCCTGTTAAAACAAGTGGGGAAACCAGTGAGAGCCTATTGTGACTTTAGGGACACAAAATAATAAAAAACAAAACATGCATGCATTTGTCCTCTTATTTAGTATTTTAAGGACTATACGGACACTTGATCATTATATAATGCAGTTCTAAACAAATAATGAGAAGTTAAGAAACAAGCTGTAAATGGAACTTCATTGTATCACCATTTAAGGTTGGGTTGGTACCAAGCTGTTGCTTACTTACATACCCATCAAATACAGACAAACACTGGTATTTATTTGGAGCCATATTTTAACTTCCTAGTGAAAGCTAAAGAGACAGATATTCTTGTCAGGATCAAGCAGAAACCCCAAGTGCAAAATAATGAAGCCAGTATGAAAGTGACAAAAAATGCAGTTCCTTGAATGTCCACTTGAGGCTGGCTTCGAAAGTGCGCCAATCCCTATAGAGCCCCATGTTAAAATGTCCAACTTTACAGCAGAGATATGTGATTCAAATCCTAATACCAACAACATGTTGGTCTGCATAACTAATTTCACCGTTCATGACAACTGTACTGGGGTGGAATTTGTATGTAACTCACCCATTTAAATAGTTTAAAGTTTAAAGTTCTATGTCATGAAGGCTGTGTCTGCTTTGAGGGACAGGTCAGTGTTGTCATGAGACCATACATTAAAAAAATACAGTTGTGACTCAATAATCCGACACTAAATGTAAAACCTTCTTTAATGTCAGATAGTAAGGCTGTCGGATTGTCAAGATGGAGGTGGAGATACAAGGAGGGCTTGATGCTTGAAGGGTCATTTGTTGTTAATATTTATTGTTTATAGTTGTGATAATGACTAGTGTATTGCTAGAACACTGCACATTGCTGGATTTCGCGCCTAATTGACTGGTGTGATTGTGCATGTTGCAGCCAATTCCACCCCCATTGGAGTGCACCCCCGGGGTGGAAGTGGCCGGAACACACAGGCAGTATTTGGCTGCTGATGCCGGTTTAGTTAGCGGTCACAGTTCTGTTTCCACCATTGGTGGCGGTGGGGGAATGGCAGTTTCGCTCCATCGTTACCATCCATGTTTACTTCCACAAACAATGAGCATGCTCGTGGCGTGTGTCGTCGTCGTGTCCTCTTCTTTTGGGTCGTATGAAGTTCACACAGCAGATCACATACAAGTCGCATTTAATTGGAAATGTGAATGAACTCACAAAAAAATTGGATTTCACAAAAAAAAAAAAAAAATCTGAATTGAGCAGTCTGAACGTAGCCAATCTGTTAAGTCAGATAATACGCCGTTGTCCTTATTTGTGACATAAAATGTCGTGTCGGAGTCAGAATCAAAGGCTGTCAGTATGTTAAGGGTATTTTTAATGGGTTTCTTTCATTTCTCCTAAAAACCTGTTGGATAACAAGGTTTTCAGATTGTTAAGGGTCTGATTATCGAGTCACAACTGTATTTTTAAGAACATTACATGTACAGTACAATACATTAATACATTTTTTTAAAATAAATACATTTACAAAAATATATATTTACAGGTTTAATGGCATAGACATATGGGGTGGAAGTCTTACCTCAACTCCAATGAAGGTGTACTGGAAGAAGAAAAAAGGAGATTTGTTATCGTTGGGTTGTTAGAACTCGCAAAGCTAAAATGTGCTCATAGTGAAACTGATGAGTGATCGTGCAGAATTATTACACGATCATACAATAACAATAACTTCAGCATTTGACCAGGGAGATTTTTCTAATAAGATTATTACAACAACATGGCAGGTGCTGCACAGTCAAGGACAGTTTCAGCACTGATTTAAAGAACAAGGTTACTTGTGAAAGCTGGGTGGCTAAATCCTTCACAATTTATGGGGCTGAAATGTGTACAAAAACAGTTATAAAGCTCGCCTTTACTAACTTAAACAAGACAACTACAAGCTATGGCACAAACAGTAACACCAACAACAAGACACAAAAACAACACAAAACCAACATGGTGATGGATGAGCTTCATGGAAGAAAACACAATTTAACAGTGTAATATTGTGTTTTCAGATAAAAGGATGAGGAGATTATAAACTGAAAGCAGCTGCTAATTTAGGTTGTGGGCTAATTTGGCACTTAGAGAAATTCAACAGGTCACAAACAAACCCAGAATGATGTTTTATATGATGGTCTTTTTGAATATCTTGAACTCCAGATAGGATCTGAGTCCCTACCACCCAAAATGTCCAGATATTGAATCATTGTTGTGGGGAGTCACAGACGTTCACTCAGGTCTCTCTTTAAGTTTTCTTTCATGTTGTTATAAAAAATGAAAGACCCCCACTTCCTTTACAGTTAGTGACAGTTGTTCTGAAGCAGGTTGTGGCTGTGAGCCAGTCACAAGGCCTTTGGTGGGACAAACACACATCTTATTGTGCTGATCTCAAGCACTGAGCTCTTTGGAGATATGCATTCCCATGGCCCAGACTGCACTCTATTGTGAGAGCTGGAATGCATTTTGTTGAACACACATCTGGTCTGGTGTTCACATTGGTGTCTTAGCCCTGTGGGACATCTGTTGATCCAACAAACATCCCACAGGGCATCACTGGTGCAAGTTTGATTTTGTGATTGTGTGATCCCCGGCCCAGAGCCATTGGGGGAGAGCCTGCTGTTTCTTTATTTTAAGTCACTCATGCTTGGTTGCAGGTCCAGTTGTCACAGCTCACAGCTGGATGCACAACTACGTAGTCGTATGATGACCTGCAACAGCTTCGTTTCCATGTTTTCAGGTGTCAGTGAGAAGCACTCTCTGTTTTGTGTTTACAGGCGCTGGTACAACACACTGGACGGTGCACGTGACACTCAAACAACTGCCTTATATTTAACATTAAACCACAAAGTGAACCTCACAATGTGTGCAGCATACATGTTCTGGCAGGCTGAATCTACTGTTTTATTTAGTTTTACTTTAGTTGAAAAGATTTTTTGACTTAAATTTGATTCTCTGCAACAAAATGTTTGTAAAACAGGGAAACTGTGTCGACAGATTTATCACAGCACTCACACAAATATTTGCAAACCTTCAACTCTCACAGGCAGGTTTACTGAGAGGTTGTGAGTGTTGTGCTGGTCTGCAAGCTTTAACAGGAGCCCTGGCACTAAGTTATTCATACAGACTGATGGAACAACAGCCCGGGGAAAGGAGCACAACCATATAGACTTCACTTCACTATGTTGCATCTTTTCTGTTGCAGTGGCATGCCTCAGTAACATCATAGGTCTTGAAGAAGATGGAAACACTCACCAGCTGATGAGCAGGTCTAAACTTGGTGTCCAGTGTAATGACTCTGAAATGCACTGAAACAAAATCAAACAGGTGACATGATGCTTTTAGAGAAATTCTATCCAAACAGGTAGCTCAGGCTAATAAGTCATTTATATGAAGTACGACACAGATATCAAACATTCAAAAATCTTGGGATATGAAAAAAGCTAGCTATCGATTGAATTTAAGCAAACTCAGTCAAAAATGTGTGCTCAATACTGATCACATTTACCCAAATATTTTATTCATATTCTCTTGTAGGCCATTGCAGTTTTCAACATGCTTGTTTCAAAAAATCCTTTTTTTTTACAAAAAAACCCCCAAAACTGAACTACAGTCGTGACTCAATAATCCGACACTAAATGTAAAACCTTCTTTTATGTCAGATTGTCAAGACAGAGGTCGAGATACAAGGAGGGCTTGATGCTGGAAGGCTCATTTGTTGTTAATATGTATTGTTTATAGTTGTTATAATAACTAGTGTATTGTTAGAACGCTACGCATCGCTGGATTTCACGCCTTAATTGACTGGTACGATTGTGCTCGTTCTGTGCACTGTTCCTGCCTGGACTGTTCAACGTTTAAACTGATCTGCTCACAAAAAGGGCCAACCACTCACTATTTTGCTTGTGTGCCCTCATTTTCAGCCAGCAAATGCAATATTATATTTCATGTCACTGGCTCATAATAAAACCTGGACCGCAGGGAGTGTTCTGTCAATTACATGGCTTTAACAGTAATGCATGCATCATTTCCTGTGAATCACTTGTGCATGTGTAGGTAATCTGAATCCTGTGTGCACAAGACAGACGTCATGAGTCATGACAGCTAGTCTATATAGCGAGACAAATACGAATAAATGCTGCTGAATAGAAATGTAAATGATGTCTATTGCACTAAAAAATGTAATCAGTGACTCTTGTGAAAAAGTTGTATTTTTCTGTAATTGAATTAAAAACAGGTAAACTCAGCAAAAGCTATTTGTACAGTTTGAAGTGTAATTTATTCAAACTCAAAATGAAATATTCTGAGATATGTGTTTTTGTTTGTTTGTTTGTTGTTAGTTTTTAACCTGTAGGGCATAATTACCAAAATTGAAAAAGAGAAATACTAAAAACTTTTCACTTTATGTGTAATGAGTCCAGAAGATATTACATTTTCCTTTCTTAAGTAGCTGATGGTAAATTTTGAGCTTTTTTTGTGATCAATCATGAACGTAAAGTGACAGACAAGTTACAAATGGCTTCACTCTCTCTTCATCTTTTTTCTGAATTCTTTCATCTTCAGGTCCAAATCAACTCAATCTGAACATGAGTGATTATTACCTGTTTGTCCTGGGAGGTAGATTGGCTTATCCGTTTGGACAAATGTCATTGGTTTGTAGACTTTGACCAAGACACTCTGGACTTTTTTGGAATAAAACGTGTCGCCTCGTACCTCCACCTCAAACTTGTGCTGCTCCTCATTCTGCACTAAAGGAACCTGTGGCAGAAACATACCTCTTAGGCAACAATCATGAGAATGATTTAATATTCACAGCAACACTTACCAGCCATCAGCATTCATAATTTTGATATTTACAGATTCTGTTTGGTTTTTTTTTAAAGTATACATTATTTTTGAGTTAAGCCACAATGTAGTTTGTATCAAAGTTTTAAATGTCTAATGTAAATGAAACAAATGCATGTTAATCTGGAGAACGGACCTGAAACTGAATGCAGGTATGAAACTCAGTGTTGGATGTCTTCTCCAGAAGAGTTGTGTTTGTTTCTTTGGACATCAAAGTGACTGTTGTGATTAGAGTCTCGCTGGGCTTCAGGAGACTCGCGCAGAATTTGGTTTCAGCTCCAGCTTCAAGAACCGCAGGTATGGCCACCATGTACTGCCTACAGAAACAGAAACACAGACACAATGTGAGGAATATATTAGGGCTGCAAATATTGAACGACACGCTTGCCCATAAAGTTGGAATAATTTTTGTTTTCAGACACTTTCTTAAAAAAAAAAATTCTATTTCTACACATCAGTATTCCCTTTTGATCAGGTGCAATGATTACATACTGAGCCCCACTTAGCAGGTGAAACCAATTCTGACTTCAGGATCTGACTGAAGAGTGGGACGTCCTGTGCATTGACACCATCAACCAGCGAGTGGACAGTCTGCCACGACGTCTTAACCCATTGATCCATGTCAGGGGTGGCCGTGCTCAATATTAGTGACATTTGAAAGAGTAATATTGGACATTCTAATGCATTAAATCCCTTCGAACTTGTGTTTAGGGCGGCTGTGGCTCAGGTGGTAGAGCAGGTTGTCGGCCTTCCACAGTCGAAGTGTCCTTGGGCAAGACACTGAACCTGAAGTTGCTCCCAATGGCAGGCAGCACCTTGCATGGCAGCTCTGTCACCATTGGTGTATGAATGTGTGTGAATGGGTGGATGAGAAGCACATTGCAAAGTGCTTTGAGTATGAATAATGTATAAAAAAGCGTTAAATGAGTGCAGACCATTTACCATTTTTATCATTCTTGTTAAATTGGCCAAAGTTGAAAAATGGACACACAACCCTTAATCCTATTGTTCAACACCTTCAATTTTGCTAAGGCTGAACACACAGTTTGTAAAAGTTAATTGTGGTTTAATTTATACTGTGGTGTGTATTGTGTGCATATTGTGAAATCAATAAAGCTTTGAGAAGATATACACTTTATCTATCAAGAACAAATCACATTGTCACAATCATTCCATAAGAAGAGGTACAAAAATTTTTATTCCAACTTTATGGGCAGTACATACAGTCGTGCCGCTATGATCCGACACTAAATGTAAAACCTTCTTTTATGTCAGATAGCAAGGCTGTCGGATTGTCGAGATACTGTACAAGGAGGGCTTGATGCTGGAAGGCTCATTTGTCGTTAATATTTATTGTTCATAGTTGTTATAATACCAAGTAGGGCTGGTCTGAATAGCACTTTCTGCTCTCTGGATATTCAGGCCCAATTGATGATGAATATCAGAATATTCGGCACGGTCAGGGGGCCACTTCCACCCGGGAGTCCAACAGGGTGGAAGTGTCCGGAACGCACAGGCAGAACTTGGCTGCTGATACCTATTTAGGATAGCAGTCACAGTTCTGTTTCCACCATCAGTGGCGGCGGTGGCACCACCATCTGTGTTTACTTCCATAAACACTGAGCACACTCGCTGCGTGTGACGTCGTCGTGTCCTCTTCTGCGCATGTGGGACACTTCTGGGTCGTATGAAGTTCACACAGCAGATCACATACAAGTCGCATTTAATTATGAAATATGAACGAACTCGCAAAAAAATTGAGCATTAAGTCCTGAAGTCTGAACGTAGCCAATCTGTGGGATTGTTCAGTCAGATAATACGCCGTTATCCTGATTTGTGACATAGAATATCATGTCGGAGTCAGAATCCAAGGCTGTCGGTATGTTAAAGCTACTTTAATGGGTTCAGTTCGTTTTTTCCTAAAAACCTGTCAGATAACAAGGTTTTCGGATTGTTAAGGGTCTGATTATCGAGTCACGACTGTATTTAGATATTTGTGTGTTTTGCGTATGTATTGAGTTTTGCATTATGAGATTCAGATTTTTTTTGTGTCTGTTTTTTCTTTGTTGTTGTTAAATGGTGGACCAGTAAAGGTGAACTGCAAATACATTTCGTCAGTACATTTTTGTACAATATTTATACTTTATAATTGCACTAATAAAATGTGGACATATAGACCTCTCAGCTGTGACAGCCTGACATCCCACCCACTAGCAGGAAACATCTTGCTTCAGTTCATCTTGGCAGTTAAAGAGAGGACAACAACATGCTGAAGACCTCGCTGTGTGGGAACACTTTAAATTGAGTGATGAGGAGACAAAGGCAGTGTGCCAAAGGTGCCATTTAAAACTACCAGGCCTGCAAGAAAACTCACTTGAATGCTGTAAGTAATGAGTTAGTGATTGACAGTGTAAAACAAAAACGAAAATCATAATTACACAAAAGCTGCATGCTGTTGTTAGTTCTCAGACAGTACAAGTGAACTTACGGTCCTGCCAGTGTTTGTCCTGTTGGCATCCAGCTCAGGCACACAAACAGTGTCCATGTCCACGTCTGAATCCCTGAAAGACCCATGACTGACTGAGATGAGCCTCAGAGCCAGCAGGAGGCTCTGCTACACAAACCCCCCCTTTGCTCACCAATCAGATTCCCATAAACACCCACACACAACATTTCACCTAATAGTTAGTGGCAGATCATCCGTACGCACTCTATTCGCCAATCATTTATCATGACCTTCAGTTTGTACGGCTGTGTGCAAATACACCTACTTTGATAACATCTAAAAGTCCAGAGTTTATCTGCCTTTTTAAGAATACTTTCTGTTTACTCTGATACACTTACTCTAAACTGTCCAGAGCAGCACTGTGTTCTGCTGCAGTTCAGAAAGAAGCTCCACTGGAGCAGTTCCACCTGAAAATGATCGCGGGGGGGCTGGAGTCTATCCCAGCTGACTCAGGGTGAAGGCAGGGGACACCCTGGACAGGTCACCAGTCTATCACAGGGCTACACTTAGAGACAGACAACCAAGCACACTCACATTCACACCTACGGACAATTTAGAATCACCAATTAACCTCAACATGTTTTTGGACCTTGTGGGAGGAAGCCGGAGAACCCGGAGAGAACCCACACTGCACGGGGAGAACATGGAGACTCCACACAGAAAGATCCCGGGTGTCCTCACCAGGATGCGAACCGGCGACCTTCTTGCTGAGAGGCAACGATGCTAACCACAGACACCGAGCCACCTTGCAACCCGAGATAACACTAAACGCTGGAAAATAATATGGAGAACATGGTGGAAGGACAAAATTTCTGTTTGCTTCATGTCTCCATTTGCTTAAGGTCACAGTGATCTGATCAGTCTTGTGGCCAGGTCCAGGGGAAACCTGGACATAGCACGAGTCTTCCCCACTCTTCAAACTCCTAAAGAAGGCCAGCTGAAGACAAGTATTCTCAAGTATGTACAAAGAAACAGAACCCTAAAACCAACAAACCAAAAAAAAAAAAAACTTTCCTCAACCAAAAAGAAACAAAAGACAGACTTCTGACCTTAAACTCTGCAACAAAAAACAGGAAACAGTGAAAAACAAAAAGGAGAACAGCAGTGCTAATTGTGCTCATATGTACACCTATCTCTCTCAAAGGACACAAGTTACAAGTTCATGATTCATATTCCGCTACTCACAAAACAATTCAGTGTTTTTCACAGAGCAGACTGGCTTGTCATTGGAAGCAGCAGAGAGGGGAAGAAGGATATATTTCCTCTAAAACGGCTGCTCCTTCTCCTGGTCCAATTGTGGAGCAGCAGTCCCTTCACATCCACCAATCAGAGAGCTCCACCTGTTCTGGCTCCAGTTCCTCCTGCAGACACAGAGATGTCTGCCATCTTAACATAAAATGATCCAGGGTCATAACATCCCCCCACCAAAAAAATGTTCATTCCTACAGAAAAGATTGACTTATGACCTTGAACGTGCATCAGCCAAGACATTTTCTAAGCATTTCTTTCTGTTTTTTTTTTTTTTTTGGAGTAGAAGTTCAGTGTTCAGTTTATTTGTTTGTCTATTTCTATTGAATTGTATCATTCTGCTTCACTACAAATACAGAACACTTTTAGTTTTTGTTCTGTATGACTGTCTGTTAAAGAAGATCCATGCAACTTGGTGGGGAGGTGGAACATGAGCAAAAGAACACGTTGCATTTTTTTGGCACAGAACTGGATCACCTTTCTTTACATTGCGAGGCAGGGTGTTGGCCTCGGTGGAGGTCTGTGCTCTCTAAATGTCTTACTGTCATTACAGACACACATGCATGAAACAAAGGTTTTTAGATCCCTACTGGATGTGTTGCTGCTCACAGATTATTGGTGAAGTCTGACTTAACAAACATGCCATTACTGATTCCTGTCCATTCCCAGACATGTTGCTCTTCTTAACTCATGACCCATTAACTCAAAAACTTTTAACTCACAAGGAAACTAAAGAGCAACGTGATTTAAATTGTTTTTGTCTAGAGACTACTGATCTTTAACCTACCTACTGTGAGCATATTTAAAACTATGAAGTCTACGATCTGGTCATTTTGATAAAGAAGCTCCTGAACTATTGCCATGCATATAGTTTCTGGAATTTTAGCATTGCTTTAGTAATATTTATCCACACAACAATCAAACCAGATAGATGATTTTGTTTTCTTGCATATATTGTTTTAGCAGGGACACAATCTGGCTCGTACGTCTTCAGAGAGTCCAGCATCACTTTCCACTTCTAAAGATGTGGCTGTTTACTCATTTCTCTTTGGGGACGGAGATCCAGGAAATGAAATCATAATATAACCCATATCCATTAGTCCTAATGCACTAATGACTACAACACATTTCATTTCCATTTCCAGGACTGAAAAACATGCAGTTGCACCAGTAAAGGACCGAGTGATGAGACGATTGTTATGTAGAATTTCTGAATACACAACCAGTATGAAAAGGCTCAGTTATTTTTTTTCTCAGGAAAGGAGAGGCTGTTGTTATGCATGTATGACTTGGTATTACGCTACAGTGCCGTCTGTGGTCTGGTATAAATAAATATGAATTAATGTTGTTCACCTATATAGTCTTGTAGAACTGTGAATCAGAGCTGAAGGAATTGGGAAAAATACTTCGTTGCAATTTGTCTGACAGATATTGTAATTAGATTTTTGATATAAGGGGTTTTTTTTCAGTTTCTGTTCTATATTCACTGTGTAATAGATTTAAAATATGTGATGGAGAATTAACCCATGTGGTACCAGCAAAACATTAACTTCTCTATATTTTAATGCAAGGATGAAAAGATACTTGAGTTACACCTGAGAT